CCATGACAATTTCAAAGTTTCATTAGCATCAATTTGCTGGTTGATATGCTCTCCAAGCTGGGAAGGGAGAAGCAGAAGGGAAAGAGGAAAAAAATAGATAAATGAAAGACAACAATAGTTTGATTATTTCATTTTATTTTAAAATGTCCGTTTTCAGTGAACTTTTCACAAGTGACTTAAGCTCTACTTCCCTTCTTTACCAATTATCTGATAACAAAATGTCATCTCTTTAATGAGCCTTCTCACCTGAAATGTTACTAAGGAATAAAAGGGCCATGAATTCTTTGAAAGGGTCTTGTAAACACCTAGTCTTGGACACCTCTGAGAACCATACACTTGGGGAACTCCTAATAAGAGGAAAGCAAAACAGAGGGAGTCCTTTTTTAAATCTGTGGATTCTTGATAAGCCCCTAAACTATGTTCAGATACAGTAACTGAATTTCTTAAAATGAATTATACTTGTAACATACAAATTTTTACAGTTAAATAATTTCATTTATCTCATTGTTGAAAAGATCTTTGGCAGCAACATATTATCTGCAGGTCAGTGTTTTCAAACAGGAGATTAGGACAATTAAGGTCAAGAGATATCCTAAAGCTGTTTAGTGATGACAATTAAGAACTATTTGCTATATAAATGGAGAGAGTGGATCTCCATTAATTTCCCATGTTCTCACATTGCACCTCTTGGCTTTCTATATCAGCTGCAATGCTCCAAAGGAAAACTGAATTTCCAAAGCTACAGACTTCTGTCTATAAAGGACAGAAGTATCAAGGAGTATTAAAGGGCATTGGAAATATTCTAGACCCCTACTACATTATTACAATTTGTAAATTTCCAATTCTTGCTAATGCAGAAAATAACTGCTGCTCTGCAAACAGTCAAAGACCAACAGAATAAACAATTTAAACTCTCTTTACTACTTCTGGATGCGTTTTACACATTATAGAATGTTGAGGAGTATAAAGCCACAATCATCTATTCTTTGAAAATATAGCACAAATTATAAACACCAAGCAGTTAAATCGGAAGAATTATTCTGGGATAACCATATTCATCCTTCAGTTTTTCCAAGTACACGTTTACTTAAATATATATTGCCACAAAAAAATACAAACTGCCAAACAGATGCTTATTTATATATCTATATAACATACATGTGTATTGCTACTTTTTATATGACCATTGGCTATTTCTAATTCACACTGTATCTTTAATTATGCTAAGCAAAAATTAGTATAGTATGGATGGCATGATTGTGTATAAAAAAGACTTAGAAAAATAGTATGGACAAAAGCAATTTTCAACTAATTTGTAACAAAAGTGGAAAGCTGGTCTTTAAAATGTACTGATTAGCACTGCCTTAAAAAGCTTTTTAACAGCACCCTCAAAATCAAAAGGTCTAGGGGATGAATATATTCCTAAATTTAGTTTCAGCTGCTAAATTCTAAATGGAGGGCAGGACCCTGTTATATAACACACAGTAACTATACATGTACGTGCTTAACAGGATCTTAACACAATTTCCTTGATTCACATTGGTAAGACTGTTCCATAGAACTAGGTTAAAAATTCCATATTAATTTACAATTTTGAAACAGTATGTTTCATAACAGTTCCTGGTATAACAAGGTTTTTTAAATTGTTTTTGCAAATCATGGAAATGTTTAATTCACTGCCAACAAGAAGCCATATTTAAACAGTCAAAGCTATTATGGCTCTGTGCTTAGTACTGGCTAGACCTTAATAAAAAAAAATGAGCTGTTTACAAAACTGAATTTTAAACTCTACTGGTAAGTAATGTTTATATCAATTCAGCTGCCACCATCGTACTTGTCCCTTCACTAAGGAGTCTACTGGCCAAGCTTCAGGTTACTGAGGGCTTAAGTAGATGGCAGGAAGAATGCTGTTAGAATCAAAAAGAATTTATTAAATTTTTTAACTTTATGGGTAACAAGAAACTTCCAAACTAAATTTAGCCTTCCATGCAATCTCAGTTCCAATCTGTAAACTTGTTACAAATATATTCAAATAAACAAACTTGCTATTGGAGTATACATAGATTACCTGGCAAATCATTTTTACCTTAAAAATTAACAAACAATTAACTAGTAAAATATTTCTCATTTGTATCACCTAGAATAATAATTTTAGTACACAATCATACAGCACAGTACATGACAATCTCTAATATTCACACAGCACTTCACAGTTTAAAAAGCACTTTCACACACATTAACTCAGTTGATCTTCATAGCAACCATTTGATCCAGGCAGGGTAGGTGATGTATTATCACAATGTTACAGATAAGGAAACTGAGGCTCAAGAGAGGTTAAGTGATTTACCCAAATGTTACAAAGCAAATAATTTACATCAGAGCTGGCCCTAGTAACTTAGGTTTTCTGACATCAGTTCCAATGGTTTTTCCACTATACTGAATCTAGGAATAAGATAAGATCAGGCCTTAAAAGGTCAAACTACTGAGCACAAGTACAGTCTGATCATCACCAAGTTCTTAACGCAATATTAGTAATTTTGGACATGTCATTTCACTTTCGTGGACCTCAGTTGCTTCATCTGTAAAATGAGGAGACCAGATTAGATGCCCTCTGAAATCCCTTCCATCTCTAGATCTATGATCCTATGATCTTACATATTTTTTCTTGAAGTCAACATATATGAAGTTACAGTCACCTGCAGACACCAAATTAGCCTTAGCTTTATGGCTACCCCACTATCATTTTACTGATGACACCAGGTAGGGCAATGAGTTAGAAGTATGTTCTTCTGTTCCTGAACTTGTAACTATGTGACCAAGGACAAGTTAGTTCATCTTCCCGTACCTTACTATTTCCTCTTCTGGTACAGCAGTGATAATATTTTATTCCTGAGAGCTTTAAAGAATGCTCAGGTAAAACTGATAAAGCACTTTTGAAATGGAAGGCAAATAAAAAGTCAACTTAGTTATCTATGTTACTGGAGGTGAGCAGAAGCACGAATAATGCAAAATGACAATTATTTAATTTTTGTCTTTTAGGAACAATCTTTTTGGACTGTCTTTATTCTTATATCCCACCCTAACCCTGCCCTGTAATCAGTCCAGGGTCAAATCTATTACTTGAAAGTAGGCAAATGTCTTCTTTGCTTTTCTCTATGCCAACCATTTAGCAAAGTGCTTGGCACTTAATAAGAATTTAACAAATACTAGTTGACTATATGAAAGAAGGAATGGGTCATTGAGATGGATCCACAAAACTGACAAGCCTCCAGTGGGCTAAGTGGATTATATAAAATATTTATAAATGTTAAGTAAACCTTGCAATGCATAAACTAAAACTGGGTATAACCTATTAACAAAAATAAAACTCTATATAAAGCCAGACAAACCTATTATTGGGGGGGGGGATGGTTAGGCAATCTGGGTTAAGTGACTTGCCCAGGGTCACATAGCCAGTTAGTGTCTAATGTCTGAATCTGGATTTGAATTCAGGTCCTCTTGACTCCCAAGGCCAGAGCTCTATCTACTGAGCCACCTATATGCCCCCAAACCTATTACTTTTAAGAGTTTTAATGCGGTCTCAGGAGAGTTGGATGCTGTCATTCATAAAATTAGGGAACGTAATTGGAGTATACATAGATTACCTGGCAAATCATTTTTACCTTAAAAATTAACAATTAACTAGTAAAATATTTCTCATTTGTATCACCTAGAATAATAATTTTAGTACATAATCATACAGCACAGTACATGACAATCTCTGATATTTACACAGCACTTCACGGTTTAAAAAGCACTTTCACACACATTAACTCAGTTGATCTTCATAGCAACCATTTGATCCAGGCAGGGTGGGTACCATGAGTAGGGCTAGCCTACTAACCCACTGGCAGGCCAAAACCAAATGCCAGAGAAAAGGAAACAAGAGAATGGCAATATTCTTTTAACAGGTACACTTCTAGTGGCACACCATGCTGTAACTACACCTATCCCCTGAACATATCCTGTTCCTTCCAAGTATTAAAGAGCCCTGCACAGAAAGATACAGGGGTACGAATCTGTTCCTTCTGTTTCACAACTGAAGAAAGTGTTAAGTGATTTGCCCAGAGTCCCATAAGTAGTGACAGAACCGAGGTATGAAACAATCCTTTGGCACTGAATGATAGTCTGTTCCAACATCCTCATTTTACAAAGGAGAAAGCCACTCCTGGATAGCTCTGAAAACTAAGTCAAGGGGGCAGCTAGGTGGCGAAGTGGACAGAGCACTGGCCCTGGAGTCAGGAGGACCTGAGTTCAAATCCAGCCTCAGACACAGACATGTAACACTCACTAGCTGTGTGACCCTGCGCAAGTCACTTAACCCCACTGCATAGCAAAAAGAAAAGAAAAGAAAACTAAGTCAGGCCGAAGACACCTATTACTTTCCTCCCCTCTTAGTGGGCAGGAACTCGGGCAGCCTGGCTAGACAGATGGGGGAATAGGGAGCTGGTTTAGTCGACTATAAACTACTCCGTGAGGGCAGAGGTTTGTCTCACTTTGGTATCCGAATCCCTTGGCACGTTCCTCCTTTCCCCTCCCCCTCTCCCTTGGCCTGGCACACAGTAGGCGCTTAATAAAGGCGTGGAGCTCCCGCGTGTCCGGGTGTCCCGCATAAAGTAACGAGGTCACACACGCAGCAGGCACAGGGAGGGAGCTCTGGGAGGAAGGGCGGGAAGGGGCCTATGAGCCGAACTAGCCCAGCCACCCCGAGGGACAGAGAAGGAAACTGAGGCCACTGAACGTGACAGCCCAGGCCCGCTCCCTCTCGGGATCGCTTCACACACTTCGTCTCACAAGAACTCCGTCTACACCGCTCTCTCCTCTCAGAGGGCCAAGGAATTCGCTCAAATTCCCTCGCTATCATCCGCCCCACAGGCCTGGCGTGATGGGTTTCTCCTCCCCGGCCCTTTCCCTCCTTCCCTCCAAAGTCCGGGCAATTCTGTCCCATAGAACCCACCTACCTGGTTGCCAGAGAGACCATGATAAATCAATTTCCCCCGCCCCAGCAGGAAATTGCGCAATGCGTTCAGGAACTTCCGCCTGGAGGGGGGACGGCGCGTGGAGGAGTTCCGCCCAATTACGGGAAGGGAAGAGCGGAAGAGAACGTGGCCCAAGTGTGTACGTGCTGGAGAGCGCGCGGGCGAAGGAGGACGTCCTCCCGCCACGAAGCCCGACGCCCAGATCCCTGGAGCGAGTGCTCCCAGGTGACTCCGGGCGCCCCGGCGTCCACGCCTGCTCGCTGTGACGTGCGCGTGGCGTGGGGCTGAAGACCTCCCCCCGCCCCCCCCCCGTCCCACACCTGCGGCGGCAGGCTCCGGCTCTTTTTAGGGTCCTTCGGTTTTAGAGTTCCCCGCTCACTGCGAGGGAAACGTGGGTCCGTGTCGTTCGGGTTCCGTTCTAGGTTTAAGGAGCTCGGGAAGTTCCGCCCTTGGATTGAGGACGGGAGCTGCCGTCTCTTATCCGGACCTCCCGTTTCACCGAGGCGGGCAGCTGGGGCCTGGTCACCGGCCAGGAGCTGGACGGGATCGGGGGAAAGGAGGAACAAAGGGAAAAATAAAGAGTTTCGGAGGGGTGGGGGAGGGACATCTATGAACTTGACTCTGACCCTAACGGAGACGAATGGGTTAATTTGTTAACTATCATCTATTCCCTTAAGAAGTGACATGGGGCGCACTGGATAGAGCACCGGCCCTGAAGTTAGGAGGACCCGAGTTCAAATTCGCCCTCAGACCAAACACTTGACTTACTAGCTGTGTGACCGTGGGCAAGTCACTTAACCCCAATTGCCTAAAAAAAACAACAACCCCCAAACCAAGAAGAAATGACATGTTTTTCATTTGCTCTTCCCAGGCAACCTAACCCAGTGAACTGAGGAAGGAAGACCTGGTTTCAACTTCTATCCCTCGCCCATTGGCAAGTCATTTATCCTCTTAGAGTTTTTGTCTTCTTATATGTAAAATAAAAATGATCTAATAAGGTTGTTGTGAGGTTCAAAAGGAGATTATGTAAAGTTTTGAAAACTTTAAAGCCCTATATAAATGCTATTACTATTAATAAGCAAACTGGGTGGGGGTTTTCTTTCACTAAAGTAATCTTTTAAAATTCCTCTCTGCAACCTAGAACCCTACATTTTTGTAGAACCTTGAATATTTTTGACTCAAAGGCCTTTGAAAAGTTGTCAAAATTACAGTCGACATTTCTGCCCCTGGAAGCCCAGAACCAGAACTGCTACAGTTGCAATTCAAGTTTGAAGGCTGTTTGAACTTTAAAAATTTTACTTTTTCTAACCCTGTCTTAACCTTAATCCAATGAAGAGCATAATCTTAATATTCTTCACAGATACAGTGCATTGTATAGTGTAAACATAAAAATTACCTGCAGTTTCAATTGTGGCAAAGATAAAACAGTACCAGTCCTTAAGAAACTTAAACACCACTAGGTTAAAACAACGTGTACATAAGTAACACAAAAACTCTACATATATGTAGCTCACTTTTCCAGAACCAGGATGCTATATCTTCCCCTTAAGATTCTAGGGGTACTCCTGAGGGGTCTTGGGATATATTTTTTAAAATTTTATTAATTTATTTTGATTTATCAGCAATCACTTCCATATGCTTTTGAGTTGAAAATTTTTCTCCCCCTTCCTCCCCCCCACCCTCCCCAAGATGGCATAATCTGATATAGGCTTTACATTTACATACCCATAAAATATATTTTCACATTAGTGAAGTTGTAAGTAAAAATTAAAACCAACAGGAGGAACCATCAGAAAGATGAAACAAAACTCAACAGAATGTAAAAATAAGTGATAGTGATTCGACTTCCACAGTTCTTTCTTTGGTTGTGGACGGCATTTTCCATCCCGAGGCCTCTGGAGATATCTTAGATCCTTGTAATGCTGAGAAGGGCTCAGTTTAACAATATTAGTCATTGCATAACGTGGCTGTTATTGTGTACAAAGTCAAAGTCCTCTTGGTTCTGCACACTTCACTCAGCATCAGACCATACAAGTCCTTCCAGGTTTTTCTGAAGTCAAGCCTGTTCATCATTTCTTATAGCACAATAGTATTCCATTACATTCGCATACCACAGCTTGCTCAGCCATTCCCCAATTGATGGGCATCCTCTCAATTTCCAATTCTTTGCCACCACAAAAAGCTGCTATGAATATTTTTGTATGTGTGGGTCCTTTTCCCATTTGTTTGATCTCTTTGGGATATAGCCCTAGAAGTGCTATTGCTGGATCAAAGGGTATGCACATTTTTGTAGCCCTTTGGGCATAGTTTCTTGGGGTATTTCTAATAACATTGGCTAGTCCTCCCTGATCACCCCATATACCCCACACGGTTTCCACATGGCATTAGTCTCACCAAGTTCACATCCAGATGCAACATGATTATCAGATGATCCTCCTCATAGTTGCCACCAGGCTGGATCTTGAAGGTCATGCTTCTGTCCTGGAGCATCTATGCCCAGCACGCTGCAAAACCAAGAATAGACAACTTATGGATTCCCCAGATGCCCAAATCCCTAAAAAGCTTGCTCTCCTGACCTTTTGAAACTCAGAAGGTCTAAGCCTCCAATTTCTCCTTCTAAAATGAAAAAATGCCAAGGCAGGCAAAGAACCGAGAGTTTTATTCGTGGGTCCACATCAGTCTCAGGGAGTAGAGCCTGTTCTCTGATTGCATTATCTCTTACTGGACACTGTCAGCAAAAGATGCAAACCAAAAGCAGAGGTCCAACAAGAAAACAGCTCAAAAAATGAAGTTAAGGGGTGAGAGAGGATTATACTGGGAGGAGAAAGGAAGAAGTAGAATGGGGTAAATTGTCTCACATGAAACAGACAAGAAAAGGCTTTTACAGTGGAGGGGAAATGGGGGAAGGTGAGAGGGAATAAGTGAATTTTATTCTCATAGGATTTGGCTTAAGGAGGGAATAACATATACAACGGGGTATGGAAATTTATCTTACCCTACAGGAATAAGGGGAGAAGGGGACAAGAGAGCAGGGGGTTGATAGAGGGGAGGGCAGATTGGGGGAGAGGATAATCAGAATCAAACACTTCTGAGGAGGGACAGGGTCAAAAGAGAGAATAGAATAAATGGGGGGTAGGATAGAATGAAGGGAAATATACTTAGTTTTTCACAGCATGATTACTATGGAAGTGTTTTGCACAACTACACATGTATAACCTGTATTGAATTGCTTGCCTTTTCAATGAGGGTGGGTGGGGAGGGAGGAAGGGAGAAAATTTGTAACCCTAAGTTTTAAAAACACATGTTAAAAAAGAAAAAAGAAAAATAAATTTAAAAAAAGGCTCAAGTCAAGTCAATGAGAATTTATTTATTAAACACTTACTATATGCCAGGCACTGTGCTAAGTCCTGGGATACAAAGAAGGACAAAAATGATCCCTGTCTTCAAGAAATTTACAATCTTAAGGGGCAGCTAGGTGGCACAGTGGAATCCAGGCCCTGGATTCAGGAAGACCTGAGGTCAAATTCGGCCTCAGACACATAACACTTACTAACTGTGTGACCCTGGGCAAGTCACTTAACCCCATTGCCTAACCCCCCCCACCAAAAAAAATGTACAATCTAATGGGGCAGATGACATGCAAACAACCACGTACATAAATTGGAGAAAAATTGCAAATAATCTCATAGGGAAGACGCCACTATTAAGAGGAACCTGGAAAGACTTCTTGCAGGAAGTGACATTTTAGCAGAGACTTTCAGGAAACCAGGAGCAGAGATGAGGAGGAAGAAGATTCCAGGCATATGGAACAGCTAGTGAAAATTGAGTTGGAAGATGGAATGTCTTGTGTGAGAAAAAGCGAGAAGGATGGTGTCACTGGATCAGAGATCCGTAGAGGAGAATAAGATGTTTGCTGAAGAGAGTGAATGGCTGACAGGGCTCCCATTTCCAAGTCCACAACTGTAGTCAGTCAAAGAGATTGTGTTCTACCACATAGTTATCACTCTAGAACCAGTTACAGAATTTCTTTGCATGCTCCATAGTCTGTCTGAGACACTTCTGTTACATGTTGTTATAACTCTTCTAGAAGTAGTCAGTAGTCGATAAACATTTATTAAGCACCAAGTATGTGGTAGACTGGGCAGGTAGGTGGCACAGTGGACAGAGTACTAGGCCTGGAGTCAGGGAGATGTGAGTTCAAATCTGAGCTCAGACACTTACTAGCTATGTAACCCTGGGCAAGTCACTTAACCCTATTTGCCTCACTTTCCTCATCTGTAAAATGAGCTGGAGAAGGAAATGGCAAACCACTCTAATATCTTTGTCAAGAAGACCCCCAATGGGGTCACGAAGAGTCAGACACGATTGAAAACAATTGAACAACAATTATAACGAAAATGTGCTAGGCAATAGAGATACAAATATGAAAAAGAAAGACAGACCTTGCCCTCAAGAAGCTAATAATCTGATGAACTAGGTTCTCCAGCCTCTCTCACACCAGTGAATAGCATTAGAAGTGCTCTGTCCATGTGCCAGTTCCCATTACATTTTTTTAAAGCATTTGGGGCTAAGTGACTTGCCCAGAGTCACACAAGTGTCTGAGGTAAGTGTCTGAGGCCAGATTTGAACTCAGGTCCTCTTGACTCCAGGCTGGTGCTCTATGCACAGTGCCACTTAGCTGCCCCCCATTACGTTTTCAGAACTGGAAGAGGACTCAAAGGTGATTATTATCTCTCCACCCACATATGTCTAATAGCCAATATTTATATGTTATGCTGCTTAGATGTTTGCAAAGTGCTTTACATATATTATCTCATTTGAACTTCACGATAACCCTGTAAAGTAGGCACAATTATTATCCCCATTTTACAGATGAGGAAGCTGAGGCTGAGAGAGGTTAAGTGTCTTTTTCAGAGTCACATAACCCAGAAAAGGAAACCATGGTGTAAGAGGCGTGTGAGATTTGGAGCTTCTGTTCTTCTCAGCTGCCAGTTTTTTGGTCATGTCCTACTCCTTGTAATGGCAAAGATTCTGGAGTAGTTTGCCATTTCCTTCTCCAGCTCAATTTACAGATAAGGAAACTAAGGCAA